TTTGCTGAAACTGCTAATATGATGATAACTAGTCAGATTTCTAGATGCATATCCTTAAGCAGAGATTAAAAAAAAAAGTGATTTGTGGCTACTAGATCATGATTGCAGATGTCAAAAAGCTTTCTTCGTCACATGCTGAAATCATATCCCTGAAGGTTTCATGTATCTCTACTGCAAAGTGTAAGTTATTGCTATCTTATTTATATTTAAATCTAACTTGTGCCTCTTTGACTTTTTCCTTCCTTTTCTTGCTTTATTCATCTTTGCCTATTTCTGTAATAGCCCTGAGTCTCTAGAGAATCTTCCTTTGTATATAGGAGCTGATGGGACTGGAGCATCTTGTTGCTGAAGATGGAGATTTAGCTCTTGGATTCTCTTCTGGACATGGAGCAGAGTATGCAGCCTTGAAGGAAAGGACGATCCAAGTCGGAGTTACAGTCAGGGACTGTAGGAATCGATCATCCCTGGGCATCTTGTTTGATGCTTGGAAAGTCTATTAGGGCTTGTCTGCATGGGTGAATGCAGGCAAAGTTGCACTCTAAGCTGATCAGGTGCAAGATGAATCTGGTCTGTTAGTGCTGTGCCTGAGCTGTGCTAATTTACCCTCCAGCTGCAAGACTCATGTCCTTGAGCTGGCTTGTGGAGTGTGGGGCTGCTGGGCTGCACCTGTGTGCACAGGCATGCCCAAAGACTCCCTGTGCCACAGTTTTGCCATGTGTGAAAAGGGAACACCAGAGCCTATGCCTGTCCCAAAAACACTTGTGACAAGCCATTGAGGAAGGAGTCACCAAGTGAGGAGTTGTCGCAACCACTCTGAACATACAACAAGGCCTTTATTATTGGTTTGATTGCCAAAAAAAATCTCATTAGTTGCGTTGTCCTTCCTTGATAACATAGTTTCTAGAAAACTTTTTTCTAGCCTCACATTCACATGATTGGAGGCTGCTTTAATATTTTTGTTTCTTTAAAATAAAAGGAGATAAAATCAGACAATTCTTGAATGATATAGGCTAAAAACCCTTGTATTCAAAGAAGTTGTCCTCCACCTTTTCCCGCACTTACATGGAGTGATTTGAGAAAAGCAGAACTTGAGCAAATAGCCCTTGCGGAGTGTCCTGGTATGGGCAACATTTTAAAAACCATAACTCTAGATGAAGGGACCAGTGGGTGTTTGAACTGCTGTAGCGTGAATATTGCTCACAGAAGGATGTGGAGGCTCATGTGTAGAACTCAAAAGCTTTCTAGGAAACCGCTGGATGCTCTAAACCAAAACGCTTCAGATTTTCAGCTGGGCTTCATTTATAGTCAAAGAGGCAGTGGAAACGGTGTACTGGGAACAGTTCAGGAGGTCAGTGGGTATGCTACAGATTGGCACTTTTTCTCCCACCTTTTTCCCCCACTGGATTCTGGGGAAGCAAGAAACTGTAGCTGTCTGTCCTACTTCAGCTTCAGAGAGGTAAAAATATTTCACCAATGAGTAAGCTGAGGGTAGTTGGTTTGGACTTAAAAGCCTGAAGCTTAAGAATGTAGCTGGAGAGAGAGGAGGGCTGAGACTTTGTGAGGTGGATGGACCCTACCAGGCAGGTCACTGCTGCTGTAAGAGGTGTCCCGTTCTCCCAGGAGCCTGTTCCCTCTGCTTACTTTGTGCCAGCTCCTGCACTTAACTGGCCCTTTGCAGCTGCTAGGTCATTTCACTGAACCCTTTGGAGTGAGTGAGAGGTTTGGGAGAGCTGCAGAGCTGGTGCAGATGGAGGGAGCGAGACTTTGTGGGATGAGTGGGAGTGTGTCTTTGGCAGCAGCTGAGCATTAGGTTGGCTGTGCCTCCTCATGAAACCTCACCCCTAAGAAAAAGCTCTTTATTCCCTGCCTAACATCCCGCTCCCTGGAAATCTGTTCCTGGCCTCTGTAAGTGTGACGCCGCTGCATGCTAGCAGTCCCTTTTCTCAAAGCCACCTCCATCTCCACTGAGGTTATTATCTCTTAAGAGCCATAAATGAACTCTTAATTCTGTGACTTACATTCAGTGTTGAAATTAACTAATTTATTCTGTAAAATATATAGTACTTGCAGTATGACATGTGAAGGTGGCTGTTGAAATCTTAACCTTTGCAATTCTGATATTATTTGTTTGTTTGTTTGTTTTTTCCCCCCTCATGTACAACCTTAATACTTTACTAACGAACTGCACAAAGTGTATTGCTTGGTTACATTCAAATGAATATTTCTTGCACATAAAACTAAAGTTGAGTGAAATGCCAAATACCACTTCTCTCAGGTAACTAACATCTTGCAAATCCAATATTTGTGCTCCTGAACATATGAAGAAATATCTGATCTGAGCATTTAGGCACATTACTTTTTCTATGGAATGCAAATCTGTAGGACTTGTTGTCTATAGGTTTTTTTCACCTGTATAACATTTTTCTAAAAAAAAAAAGCAGATTATGAAAATATTTGTCATTACCTGTGTATTTGTCTAGAGACTGCATTACCATAGTACATGTGTGCTATCGTTATATCTGAATGACTTAAATATTTTTGTGGCAGTGTTGTATATTGCCTGGCTAATGTTTAGGGGGGAAAAAATCATCTTGCTGTTTTTAGCAAAAATTCAATGGAACGGAAGAGTAAGATCTAATATTAAGACCTTTTTTTTCTTAAGAACATATTCTGCAGTAAATGTACCAGCACATTATGGAGAATTACCATACTTAGAGCTATTCTGCATGTGTCTTAAACAAATGAACATTTTAATTTTTTTTTTCCTATTTGAAGTTTCATGTTTGCTTACTTAGTAAGCAAAGCAGGGCTTTGGACTCTTAGATTACGGTGACTGTAAAAATATGTTGGTTAATATACAGTGATTGTGTGAATGAACAAGGTTTTAATCTTCCAAAGCCGGAAGTTTTAACAGTTACTGTGCTGACTGAATCTTAGAAGAATTTCAGTACATCTCGGCTGCCATTCAAGCTCGTGTTAATTATTGCCCTTCCCACTCATGATCACATAACTGACTCTTGGACAATCAGGATTTGCTTGCCTGCTTTTAATGTTAATTTTGCATGCCATGTTTTAAGCTATATTTTAAATAAATTTGGCAGCTGCAAACAAGAGGTGGTGACATCCTGTGCGCAGCAAGGGCTCTGCAGTCTGTGAAACACAATTTGGGCATCTCTTTTATGGTGCACTTGCACCATGTATGAGCTAAGCTTGGGAGTGAGGGCAATCTCACCTAGCTTTCCAGCAGGACCAGTGATGACACTGTGTCAAGAGTGGAGGTAGGTGCGTGGCTATCAGTCTGTGATGTGTGCCCCAAGGCCATTTCGGGTACTCATTCCTCGTGCCAGCAGTGTGCTAGCTGGAGGGAGAAGAGGGTAAAATCTGTTTTGTGGGGAAGGCGTTGCTGGAAGCAAAGTGAATTAAGAGGGCTGTAAAAAATTGATAAAGATAGGACTGTCTGTTTTTATATTCTGCCACATAACATGGGTTTAAATGAATTTCCCTATAATTTGTCTTCAAATACCGACATTTAACTCTTAGGCTGTATAAATGAACTGGCTTTTTCTAGAGTAAAATTCATGCCCTGCGTCCAGGCTAATATGTTCACCTACTATAAACATTACTGCCTATGGTTACAACCGGAATAAAAAATTCCTTTTATATACATCATAGCTGGCAAAGACTCCTGAGACCACCACAAATCACTTCAGCCTTTTGGTGCTCTCTGACGAAATGAACTGAAATGTAAAACACATCAGGCTTCAGGCAGGCTGGCTCTGGAAAGCAATTAGCTTGTTTAGACCACTGTTTGTACTCTCCTGTGTTTCCAGGTGCTGAGCAAAGGTGTTCTAGGAGCTCTCTGGATTGATTTAAACATTGGGGTTTAATAACCTCCCCATCCTTCCTAAAATGTTTTGCTTATTCTCTATGTAGCCTTTCATTTAAAGGAAAGAAAAACAAACAAACAAAAACCCTGGCAAGGCCCGCCCTCCCCCAAAAGAACATGAAGAAGAACGAAAAAAACCCAACAACTCAGGGTCATAACAGGGAATAACAAAGCAGTGAGTTATTTATGCAGCCATGATTGGCAAAAATGATTGCAACATGAATTTGCCCAGAAGCAATGATTAGATCATAAAAAATGTTAAGGAAATCTGTAACTCAACACCATTTTATAGATTGAAGAAGTTTTTGTTCCCTACCTTAATTGCAGTGACTTGTTATTAAAGTATTTATTCAGAGTAATCTCTTTGGACAGCGAGCCCTTATCCCATCTGCATGCATAATTAAAAGTGAGGGGGGAGAGAGGGGAGCATAAATGGTTTACCATGCTACATGAGCAAGGGAGGGAATTACACAATGACAGGTGAAGAGCAGATTTATCTCCTGTTGGAATTTCAATGCTGCAAGCGAGGCAGGACACTGTTGCTTGCTAATATCCTTGCAAACACCACAGTTGCTGCTTCTCCAGATTACTTCCAAAAATCGTTGCTGGTCTCTGAAAGGCCCGTAATGCTGCATCTGTGGCTGTGAGTTTTGGAGCTGTTGGTGCCCAGGCAAAGAGATTGGAACAGGGTACGTGGGCTTGTGAATCCATGTCTGTGCTTAAAAATGGACTATTTACTTACTTGGCTGGCTATTTATTTATTTATAAATAAACACTGGTAGTGTCTGGCTTTGCTGAATACAAATCAGAGGGTTGTAATTGTTCCAACTGAAACAATGTCATCACCTGCCTCCTGCTGCTGTCCCTTTTCCAATGATAAAAGAATTTGATGCAATTCTTTTTTCCACTCTCTGAGTAAAAGAAGGTTGTACTTGAACATTCATCTCTAGGCATATTTATCATCATTAGGCAGTACTCAAACTCACAGTATCTGTTTTTAAATTGAACTGTTATGGATCTAAATCAGATTTACACAGAGTAAGTTGGTATATATTTGACTCTAACCATTCACTAAAGTATTTTTCCCTTAACTTCTGATGTCTCACCTCTGCAGCAGCAGTACAGAGAATGCCAGGAACTTTTGAGCCTTTATCAGAAGTACCTAGCTGAGCAGCAGGAAAAACTATCGCTTTCTCTTTCCGAACTCAGTGCTGCTAAGGACAAGGAGCAGAAGGTAAGCTCTTTTTTCGTGTCTCCTTTTTTAATGACATCTGTGAAACATCTTTTCTCTTTTAGTAGAACTGTAACTTGAAGTGAGTTGTCTTGCATTACATGGTGTCAAATAACTGTTTTTGTGATTGGCTTCCCGTGAGTCCTTCCCTTAATACATGGACTGCAAGAAAACAGAAAAACCCTCAAGTTCTGGGTCAATAAAGTGGGTGAAGTTAATTGACCATGTTGTAATGGAGAAGGAATGATAGGAACTGGTGCCTTTGCTAAGGAAAAAGTTAAGATGCTCCTCTGTTGTCTGTCCTGTTTCTTAAACAGTACAGTAATTGCTGTCACTATAGATACAGCCTTTCGAATGTTCACTGTGGCTTTTGATGATTGAATAGGACATTAGAGATGATGTATTTGGTCAATAACAGCTTTCTGAAGTCTGTAAGGCAGCCCATCTGATTTGAGCTGTTTATAGAAGACCTATAATTATGTAAGTAGTTTAAAACCAGCAAATGTTGACTAGAGATACAACGTGTTAAATTAAGTGGTAAAATGTTTCTCAGATGCATGCACCCAAAGACTTGAAAACATGGTTGCTTGGGATTTTTTTTCTGATAGCTAGGTACTTGATTTGCATCCCTGCTGATAGCAGATTACACCCTGGAAATGAAGGCTACTTATGCAAGCGCTCTACCTAATGTTCTTACCTGCTCTTCTCTTTGAGTAGCTTCCATCTGCACATCTCCAGAGTCTGCCCTACCTGAGACTATGCCTTTTTTTATAGGTTGGGCCTTTGGTCCTTTCTTTTGCTAGAAGAGTCTTAAAGGCTTGTAATAGTGAAGTGAAGTGATCAGCAGAGAGTATCCAGAAGGTGGCCGGATTCTGGCCTCTCAGTGGTTCTCCACTTACAGATCCCTCATCTCAGAAGCCTGTGGAGGAAGGAGTTCATTTTTAGTTCTGTTAAGGAAGCAGGTAGTGATACTTCACTGGCATCAGGAATAATTTTTTATCCTGCTGATGTTTTTTTTTTGTAAAATACATTGTTGGATGTTGAGCTCTTTGTCAGGCTTTTCTCCTTAATAATGATTTCATTTCCATTCTTTTGCATTTTTGTCTGCTATCCATTTTGTGATGCCATTGAGTTCAAAACAAGAATCTTTTTCTCTGAGAAGGAATGATGCATGTGCTCTTGCCTGTGATATGCAGCTTGCTAGGAATCTCCGTGGAACACAGTCCAGAGGAGCCCATGTAGTCCAACAGCACCGTGGCAGCTGTTTGGGATGACATCAGTACCTCTCTCTGGTTTTGTCGGGCTTAGCCTTTCATGTTTAGCCTTTCAACTTTAAATACACGTATCTTGTACCAGGTTAGCACCTAATATAGATGTATCTGTTGTAATCACATCTTCAGTGGTAGTAAAGTATAGAAACAGATAATAGGAAACCTTCAGCCCATTAACTGTCAAATCAGCTTCTGATGGTACAGCACTCCACGTTCATCTCCTCTTGTTCTTCTGTCTTCCTAATCTTTGTCAATGTATACATAGAGGATTCTCTGAACTTGTTTTCTGATTTCATGTGCAAAGTTCTATCAAGCTTATCTTTGGTTCCATTATTTCTTTTCTCTATACTTACAGGCACTTTTGTCCACAAATGCAAATTCAGATATTACATCGAGGTTTGCCTTGACATCTCATTTATGGTTACCTAGTCTACAGCTTCAGCCTAGCAGGTCTGAAATTACCCTAGCCGTCTTGCCCTGTGCAAAGCTTTGTAGGCACAGATAAAAACCTGTCAAAGTGCCTTTCAGCTGGTTTTACTTACAGCTTACGAAATATTTCTAATGTTTCTAGCCATCTTCTTCGATTTTCTCTTTCTTTGCAGTCCTGGTAGGCACAGATGCTGTTTATATCTTGAATGCATTTAGCTTTATAAATCGTTACCTTTTTTCCCAAACAAGCACTTCGTGCTACGTTTCTCCTCACAGCTCAGGAACTGTGGAGAGGTTTGCACGACTGCCTCGTTGCATTGGTTCTTTCCCTAACACGCACTTCATGTGATGGCTATCAAAACCAAAGAAGAGTCAGTGGGCTACTTCTTGTTGGACTATTGTGTTGTTCTCGTGCACCTTTCGTCTTGTTGTCTTTTCGTCTCTTGCCTTAATACCTGAACTGCAAGCTCTTAGGGTTGTAGTTGGTCTCTTTTTGTTCTGTTAGAGTGTTGTCTTAACACAGTAGCTCAGACAGGTGTAGGGCTTATGTTCTGCTGTCTGCCTCGGTGGGGAATGCCTTAGGGGAACGCAGCAGGGGGGGATTTTTGGGAGGTAAGAAGTGGGAGGGGGACAGACACAGAAAATTTTCTTCCTGCTCCAAGGGCTCCCCACACCAGCTTTCTCTGCCCTGCTGAAGCTTTTATGCTCTCCCTCTTTTTGTTTTAAGCTGGACTTTGAAAAAAGCCACCTTGTTAAATATTAGGCTAAAGGAAGTCTTCCTGAGTTTTGTTTGAATCTTGATAGGGAATCTTTTCCCTATGGTTTGTTTTTGACTGGGCTAAAGAAATCCTGGATATATCTGGCTTTAAATCAATAGACACTACCTTGCTACCTAGTTTTCACTTCTTTGAGCTGTCTAGGAGAGGAAATCAGTGTTTAGGTGACTGCTGATGTTACCGAGGCGTCTGTGCTTCAGTGTTAAGATGTTGTCCTTTTCCTGGGTTTTCCAGAAGCATGGCTCTGTACCACTGTATTGAAGCATTTCTTTGTTCTGTCTGTTATGAACTGTTCTTTCTTGTTTCTGTTCATTTTCCCCACTTTTTCTTACTTGTTTCTTTTGCATAATTTCTAATTCTATACCTATAACTTAACATCACCCGCTTTTCTTCTGTCTGGCTGCCTCATTCTTACTGTACAATAATACTTACCATCCATGAGCTTAGATAGGTATTTCCTGTCCTGGAAGGCATCCCTTTTCGGTCTCTAGATGCTGAGCTTTGTGTTAGAATGAGACAATTAACAGGTCAGAGAACTGCCCTTACCAAACGTCCATGACATTGCTGCAAGAAGAGGTGGAGTTGTATGGAAAGTGAATGACTGCAGTAGCTGTGTGCGTGTGGCTGAAACGAAGCCCTGGCTTGTAGCTGTGTTGAACTAATGCAGCTGCTTTGGTGTTAACTTTTGTTTTTGTCTGCTTTAGCGTCACCTAACAGTAGCGATAACTCCAAAATCGCGTTTTCCTCTTACCTAATATCGCTTCTTTATAACAAAAGTCAGCCCTCGAAATTTAAAGAAGCATTCTGGTAGTAGTGAAATAAAACTGCTGGGAAGATGGTGGTGAGATGATTTAAGACAGACCTCTCGTGGAGTCAATAATCAGTAACAGGAACATGGAGCTTCCTTTTTTTGTGAGATAAAGTTAATTCCATTTGAAAAGATACTTAAGGTGACATGAATTGAATTATTCAAACTGGCCTTCTCAGCATTAACTCTAGGTTAATATCTTGTGATGCCTCTGGTTTCATTATAGGAGTTTTAAGTACATAACTTTTTATAATAAATTCAATACCTAGAAGCCGAACTGAAATTGGTTTACCTTCTACCAACCCATAAAAAGAAGCATTAATTGTAAAGTGAATATTAAAGTGGTCACTAAAGTTGACTCAGACAGATTCAAAGAGATAGCTCTGTGTAAAGGAAGTGAAGAGCTCTACTGAACAATAGGCTTCTGCCCTGATGTTAATAGAAAATACCATCCATATTAAAATGTAGTTAAACCTCTTCTATCAAAAATGATTTTTTGAATGTTCTTTCTGCAGCTCCCGAATGTTCAGTCTTTGCCATTTTCAGAAGCTTTACGAAGAGATGTAAAGAAAACTGTCCTTGTTCTAGGTAATCAGGTCTGATCTAGTTATATAGTCACTGCTTCACTGCTGTCTCAAACAGTGGCAAGAATCCAGTTTACTTTGGCAAGTCTCTGGCTGATGAGTCTGTAGATGTTCTGCAGCATAGAGTAGGACTTGAGTCACAAAAGGAGGACAGTATCTGTAGTCTCAGCATTGCTTATTAATGTTAATCTTTGAATTTACAAGTACAGCTGGCAGCTTCTGTATCTCAGAAGAATCTGAAAGATTCCCAACACATCTGCTAGTTCCCTTGATTTACAAAGATTCTTGTTGTGTATCTGTTTTAAGCCTTGGTTCTTCTACCTGTGTAGAAATGGCACAGATATAGGGTGGGATTGTAGACAGAACGCAATATCAAGAATTTATTTTCAATGGGATATCTGCTCTCCCAATTTTTTTGTGTATTACGTCGTCTACCTCCTGTTTGGTGTTTATAATTCGTTAATACCGGAGGCTGTCATCAGGAACGAGGTACTTTTGTGTACTAAGCACTGTGCAAGCATACTGAAAGACATGGTCTGCTTTGGGAAGATTGTAAAATCTTAAGATTAACTTTTGTGGGGAGGATAATTTTTTTCACTTTTTTTAATGTTACAATTTCTCTTGATTCACTCGTTCATCTTAAATTGTTGACACAGTTGTGGTGTCGTTTCACTGTAAAGTCCAAATGAAGCGTTTTCTTGCAAGGACTAGAACGTGTCAGTTTCATGTCAGTGACTAAAATTCTTGTCGGTATCGTTGTCATTTGTGCCTTAAAAAGGGTGATTGTATGCTAAAGCTTCAAACATTGGTTATTTGATTTATGTTTTCCTTTCCTTTGAAAAAGATATTGAAACAAATCAATCCTTAGAAGCCCTTACTTTCTGATTGTCCCCAAATTTTACCATTCCTCTTTTTTTCAACACAGGTCACCTTTAAACACATTCTTAGCTTGCTTAAAGGAAAAAAAAAAATCCCACATATGCAAAGGCTTTTGAATGCTGTAAGGTAAACCTGCATGGTAAAATTGACTTTGTCTGTTTACCCAGCTGTACGGGAACAATGGATGAGCCCATCTGAAAGATACTTGAGAACTGGGATAATAAATAAAGAATTAATTTGACTGTAGACCCAAGGG